CGTCGGATGGCGTTGGCATTGCGCAGTCTCCTCTCGGGCACGTCGGCGTGGCAGGACAACGCGGGTGTATTCTTTTTTTTTGAGAGCGCCTTCGTCGTTGTTTGCTACATTGTAGGGCTGGGGGGCACTTCAACCTGCAAAAACCTGGCCGGTCCCTGCGGTGCCCCTACCTCCTACCTACCTACCCACCCTACTTATGGGAAACTAAAAAAGAAATCACTGGAGGGGTGAAGGTGGGGATACCAACTTAAAGTGATGGGTGGTGGTACTCTCCTGCAACCACAGTCCTTCCTGTGACATGGCAGGCCACTCTCAGGCCCTACAAGCCTCAGATCACCCATTTGGGGACGTTTGACATCGTGATTTGGCCGGAAATTTTCTTTTTCTGCTGTGAAAATTCCGCGTGAAGAGAGGGAAAACCCCGACGGGAGGGCCCAGACCTACCCTACCTACCCCGTCATGAGTGCCGCCCACGCAAAAAAAGAATACACCGGGACGAACCAAGAATTTTCGTTACATTTCGATGCCTGAGAGGCTGAGAGATTAGCACGCCCTTGGCGCGCTTGGTTTTGGAGCACTTGGAGTGCAGTCATTAACCGCACATCCAGGGCCGGGGAGCTAAGAAGCGCACCCAGCGGGCCGGATGATTGGCATCGGGTTGCGGGCAAGAGAGCCCTAGCCCTGGGGGTGCGCGTTCGCAGGGAAAGGGCCGTAAAGTAAACACGGGTCTCCGAGGGTTAGTCCGCGCTCCGGGTTTCCCCTAGCAGCGGAGCGCCCCCTCTACTCGGAGCTAGTAAACACCAGCCAGACATGCACACGACGTACAGCACACGAACGACGTACCTACCTCCCCACTCGACGTCTCCCCTCTGGGCTTCTCCGTTCGGCCTCCCCACCCTCGGTCCGGAGGGGGGCCCCTATCCTCTCGGTCCTCCCCCCCACTCGCTTTCCGCTGGTTGGGCAACGGATGCGGGGCGCCGGGGCCCGGCTCCCCCTCCTAGCCTTCTTCGGCCGCGCGGCCCCGCCGCCGTTTCGTCCCCCTGCCTCTGCCCCTGTCCCTGCCCCCGCAGCAGCTGCCCCTGCCCCCATGTCTTCCGAGGAAAAACAAGCCTATGCCTGGGGGATGCTGGGCACCGTTCTGACAGAGGTGGCGAAGGCGCATGGACTGGGACCCGAGGCATGGGAGTCCTGGGCCGAAAAAGCCTTTGCGGAGTATGAAGCCGGGGAACTCAGGGACTACGTGATGCAGGAAGCGGCAAAACTCGTAGAGGAGATGAAGAAAACTGGAGCGACACCCGCCGAATGCTACACCTTGATTGAATCGGCAATTAAACACAAGATGTTCGACGCCGCGAAAGCAAGCGACTTGGACGCGTTCGACAGGGCCGTTGCAGCGGTCCGGGCCGACGATAAAGTATCGGACAAGATCAAACCTATCATTGCCGCTTGGAAGGACAAACAGCTTGGCAAGGGACTTTAGATGATTCGACCCCTGAAGAGGGCGGTAAGCCCAATTAATCTCAACTCACGTCCCTGACGGTTGCACGGGCTGCTGGCGGTGGTGGGTGCTGGCACAGCCGGCGTCGCGATCGGTGGCGCCGCCTTGGCGCAATTGCATTCAGTGGATGCAGAGGTAGGCGATGGGCGTCCCCGCCTGGCTCCCATTATGCCAAAAAAAACGGGTCCAATGTCCCACTTCCACCCCCGGGAATCCGGGAGGTCGACGAGTCGCGCCCGCACCCGCGGCCTCTCTATCGTCCTCGGCTCGCCCCCCCCCCCCCCGCCGGCTCCTCTTCAGGCTCGGGGAGGCGTGGCCCTCCCTGTCGAAGATCACGGTGGTCCCCCACCGGCCCTGCCACTTCGCTGTTTTCGCGCACTTGGTTTGTCTTTCTTTCCAAAACTCCAAGTACTCCCCGGAGTCGCAAGTGTGCTCGCACGACACTGGGCAGGCAGGAGGGCCGCAGGGCAGGGCGAGCACACAGCACAAAGAATTTTGCGGTATACAGCACTAGGCACGGGCCTGGCACGCACTTACTAACAATAAAACGGCCGGTCGCACGTCCACGCCTCGAGAGCAAGAAGCTCCGCGCCGCCCCGCCCGGCGCTGCCCACCCGCCAACCGGCTGCACCCGCCGACAGCAGGCGCTCGCGCCGGGTGTGGCTGCTCGGCCCTGCGCCGCAGAGACCGCGCATGCGCACAAACACTGCTCACGCTCACTGGGGGAAACGCTGCGGTCCCGGCTCCCTCGTACCGTACACGGGCTCCCCTAACGCGTCGAGCTAGCTCTCCGCCCCTCTTACTGTGCGTGTGCCACTCCTCTACTTCGTCTGCCTATCGCACGCGTGGGGTGTGCTGCACAACGGTCCCGAGCGGACCTCCGTTCCTCTGTCGGTTGCACGTCCCCCAGAGCGCTCGCCCGCCTCTTTCGCGCCGCCTCCCCTTGAGAGACATCGAATCACCGCCCTTCACGCACCCGCGGCCCATCCGAGGACATAGACCTGCGTCCGCGGAGGCGACACATCAAGTGAAGCGGACCGCCAGCTCGTGAGCGGCCACGGCTTAGCCATGCAAAACATGTCAGGGAAGGTGCGGTGGCGGCGGAGGCTGGGGCGGGGCGACACCTGCACGGGCACGAGGAGCAGCAACGCGCAGATCATCTGCGCTGCGCTCGACCTGGCGAGACGCTTCGCGCCCTGCCAGAACCACGTGCGCCACGGCCCCGCGTGCCGCCGCGCCGCCCTCCACGCCGCCGAGATCTCCCGCCACATCTCCCGGCTGGCGGCCACTGTGCCCGACGCGAGCCGCTGAGTTGCGCGCCAGGCGTGCCTCGCGAGCGGGGTCGGCTCGCCCCCGATGGCGGTGGAGTAGTCTCGCCGGCTTGAAATGGCGGGCTGCACCCCATGCGGCGTATGCTCCAGGTACGGCATCAGCACGAGCATCGTGTCCCGGGCCCGCCGCGCCGCGAGAGATGCGAGCCGCGCCGCCTCGAGGCAGCCCAGATTCAGGGTCGGCGCCAGCGCCTTGACTGCGGCGGAATAAGCCGCCCGCACCTCCGCTACGGAGGCTGCGGCGGACACGTTGAGGATGACCCACGGCAGGAGCTCCGTCCGGTCTGCAGCCTCGCAACTGCACGACAAGAGGCCGCAACCAGAGGCGACGCAGGCTCCGGCGACCACCTCGCGGTTGGCGCTGCACCGGCCGCTCCGCCAGTGGCAGTCAATGCTGTCCTGGAGCGTGGCGCACTGCGCCGCTCCGCTGGGCAGCGAGTCGCCCAGCTCAGAAAAGCTGAAACGATGGTCTCCCGACTCGGCCCACATCCTCGCCGCCGCGTCTGCATGCCGCCAGGAGGGGGAAGGGAAGCGGGTGGCCCCACCCTTGGCCCCGGCGGCGGGCGCGCAGGCCAGCAGCAGCAGCATGTCGATCCGGCGCGTCAACCGCGTCAACGGGCGTCAACTGGCGTCCCCAGGTGCAGTCACCTGCGTTAGGGTTTGTGTGAATCGGGAGGATGTAGCGATGTAGAGCACTAAAAAGGAGAGCAGGGAAGACGCGGTTGCAGACAAAGCAAACAGTCGGGAAGGACTTCGGCCCGACGGATGGCGTCTCACGACTGTTCACACACACTCTCTCCACAGGGGACAAGTCTCCTCTGAAAGCTCCTGAGTCGCCTTATCTCTCACACTCCCCCATTGTCTGCAGAGACAACAAAGGTAAGGCGTCGCGCTGATCAGAGGCGCGAGGTAGTGAACGTGGCATAGTGACCTTCCGTCTCCCGGGCTCAAGGTAGTAGCCTATCGGAGCGGTCGACTGGATGTCAATTGAACAACATGGGAGAAGCCGATCTGGTAGATCAGCGGACGAGCTTGGCTCGATGCTTGAGGAAGGTCGTCTTGTCGAGAGCCTTCGTCCAGATGTCGGCGCACTGGTCGCTGGTCGGGACGAACTCGGGCGAGGAGATGTTGTCCTCGTAGTGGAGGCGGCCGAGACGCAGGAACTTCTCAAAGTGTCGGTTGCGAGAGGTGACTCCACCGTTGCGGGTTGCGAGGACGACGCCGTTGCTGTCGGTGCGGATGGTAGTGGGCATCTTGAACCCGCCTCCGCCAAAGACAGCGACCTGCTGGCAAAACCGAAGGGACATGCTTGCGCCAGCGTAGGCGAAGGACTCGCTTTCGTAGGAGCTCTGCGCGCCGAGCCGTAGAACGCGAGAGCAGCTCGCGACGGGCGCTCCCCCATACCAGACGCCGTGGCCGTAAAAGGTGTCGGGAATCTGGTTGTACGACGAGTCGCAGTAGACAACCCCGTCGAGATTGGAGGAGGGCGCGCCGAAGAGGAGGCACTTGTTTCCGACGCTGTCTCCGTTGTTCGGCTTGAGCAGGATGGAGTGCGTGGAGTCGGGCGGCATGTTGGAATACTTGTCAGACGTGATGTTGTGGTTCGTGTTGCCGGTGGACTCGGCCTTTCCTTTGGCGGGGTCCTCCATGATGATGCAGGTGATGTCCAGCTGGTTGTCGGCCTTGCCGCACAACTCAGGCTCCATGTCCTCCAACCGTATCGAGCGGATGGAGTTGTCGCGCACGAGGTTGCGCGACTCGCAGACGGCCGAGGTGCCGTTCATGACGACCGAGGTGTCGTCGAGAATCTCACGCGAAGGTGCCATGTGAATCGGGTTCGGGAGGATGTAGCGATGTAGAGCACTAAAAAGGAGAGCAGGGAAGACGCGGTTGCAGACAAAGCAAACAGTCGGGAAGGACTTCGGCCCGACGGATGGCGTCTCACGACTGTTCACACACACTCTCTCCACAGGGGACAAGTCTCCTCTGAAAGCTCCTGAGTCGCCTTATCTCTCACAGTTTGCGGCAACTGGAGAGGGTGGGTCCGGTGCGCGGTCCTCGGTGGCAGGACGCCCTCCGTCCAAAACTCGCTAAAACGGGCAGGAGGAGGCCCGCGTCCGCGCGCCGCGCGCGGCAGTTCGGGGCGCATTTTTTTCGGGACGCCGACTTAGTTAGTGTGTATTCGCCGATATCTTGTTCAGCCCGTACATCGAGCGGCTCATGAGCTGTAGCGCGGCGCACGTGGGCATCCGGCAGCGCTCGTACCAGCGGAGCGCCTTCTGCGAGAGGCCGTGGCGGTCGAGCTGCGCCACGAGCTCCTCGACGTCGCCAAACGCCGTCGAGACGCCCAAGCCGAGCGCGGGCAGCTGCGCGTGCGCCGCGTCGCCCAACAGCGTCACGTGGCCGTCGCCCCACCGCCACGCCACGGGTAGCTCGGCGACGGTGCTCTCGATGACGTCGGCGGGCGTCGTCGCCTCGACGAGCGCGCGCACGCCGCTCGGCCAGCCGTTGCTCTTTGCGTACTTGGCCCCGAGGTCGGCGCGCAGCTCGGCGTCGCTGCCGTCGTGGTAGAGTTGCGCCGTCGGGTCGGCGGCGAGGTCGGTCTGGCTCCACATCACGCCACCGTCGGAGAGACCCATCGTCACCACCGAGAGGTTGTCGCCCGCCACGAAGCCCAGCTCGCCCGGCGTCGACGCGCCGCCGACCGCCTCGTGCGCCGCCGCGACGCGCTCGGCGGGAAGCACCGAGAAGGTCGCGCGCAGCCGCGGGATGCGCTCGTCGCCGAGGAGCTGCGCACGCGTCGCCGAGCGGATGCCGCCCGCGTCAATCAGGTAGCGCACCGTGCGCGGCGGCTGCGCGGCGTCGGCAAAGTAGAGCGTCACACCATCCGCGTCGCCGTGCTGCTCGTACCGCTCGAGCTGGTGGCCAAAGCAGAAGAGCTCGTCCGGCAGGCCGACCCGCAACGCACGCAGCATGTCCCAGAAGCGCACCGCCACGAACGGCGCGCCGAGCACGCGCTTCGCGTCGCCGAGCGTGTCGAGCCGGAAGCTCGGCGCGTCCTCAGCGAGAGTGGTGAACGAGAGTGTGTGGATGGTCGTGCAGACGTCGAGCAGCTGCTTCTCGAGCGTGGGCGAGACGGCGCGGAGCGAGTTGAGCGCGAACGGGTGCATGAACACCGCAGCACCCACCGGGCGGAACGAGTCGCGTCGCTCGAAGATGCGGACCGAATGGCCGCGCTCGCGAAGCACGTGGGCGAGCACGAGTCCCGCCGGCCCGGCGCCGATGACGCCCACGTCGGCAGTCGGTCGAGGCGTGGCCGTCGGGACGGAGAGCGCCGCCGTGCCGGCGACGAGCGTGGATAGTATCTTCGTGGCTAGTACACGGTCGGCTTCTATCACGCTCGGCTTCTCACCGACGGTGGCTCTCGGCTCGCTGTTGTTTGTGTGAAAAAGCAGGTCGGATGTCGTAACACGATGGCCGAACTGAAAGGTGCCTATATGGGCTTCCAGTCTCGGACCTTCAAGACATGCGCTTTTGGCCGGTGGCCTCCTCGGACATGGTACCTCCGGTGAGATAGTGGCTGCCAGTTCGAGACTGGGGCCGATCGAACTTGAGTTGTTCGGAGGAAGGCAGCGCGGAAGCATGACAAGAAGCGGGACAACCAGATTGCTCAGGCTGCGAAGCGGGAAGAACGACGCCTCCAGAAGGCCGCAAAGAGAGGATTGGCCGCCGCCCCGGACGAGGGCCTGCACTCCACGGACAAGAAGCGGCGGCGCTTGCTGGAGACGGGTGTGGCGGCGATCTCCGGCGTCTCGGGTTCGATGCCTACAAACCGGAGGGTGGCTGCGGGGGAGCTGGCGGCGCAGGCACTTGCCGCCTCGGTGCCCCCCCTCTCGCGCGATGGCGGCGGTGCTGGCTCTGAGCGACCGCGGGGCCGCCCCCAGACGCCGGGACCGGGGCCCGACAACATATGCGGCCTGGCGATTGGATCTGCCCCCGCTGCAACTACCACAACTTCGCCAGAAACAGGACTTGTGGTCGCCGCCAGCGAGGGGGAACCTGCGGTGCGCCTAAAGTGGATGGGCCGTGGGGCGGCGGCGGCGGACCTAGTGGTAGCGGCGGGGTGGGGCGCACCTACTAGCGACCCCCTGCCTCCTCCGCGTTGGGGCTGCTACCCTACTGGGGCTCCGGACTGTTGCCGTGGCTAGCTGGGTTGCTGCTGTTGCTGCTTGGCTCGTAATGCTGATGCCGATGATAGTGATGATAGTGTTCGACATGCTGGTGAGGATAACGGTAATGATGTTCAACATGCTGGTGGATTATGTCTGGATACGTGCCGCTGACGAGGATGATAATGGTGATGATGCTCGACTAACTGGGGTTGCTGCTACTGGTGACGATAACATGGTACTGGTGCTGGATCGTCGCTGCTGCTTACGTTGACATGCCTGTGGGAGACGGGCCGCGCGTTAGCCGGAACGGGGCCATGCCAGGCGAGTCGCCTGCGGCTGGGACGCCAGCCGAGACTAACGGGTTTTCACAGAGGGCTAACGGGTATTTTCTTGCTTCGCTGCGCGGCCTGGGAATAGGTAGGTAGGTGGGGCACGGAGCCTGGCGATTGGCGCCCGCAATAGGTAGGTAGGTAGGGCGTTTTGGTGCGAGTCGTGGAGAACAGACCCCCTATCTGGGTAGGAGCCGGAACCCAGAGGGCGGAAGGTGGGCGCTGGGTTCGGACTTTTTGCGGGGTATGGTATGGTAGTCACCTCGAGACCATACCCCCCGCCTGCTGACAGACCCAGCCTCCCGGCTGCCGGCCTCGGGCGGTCAGGACCATACCCCCCCACCCTTTGGGCCGCGATGGTACCATACCATACCCCGGAAAAAGTTGGAACCCTGGGACACTTCTCCACGAAAAGAAGAATTTTAGGTCCCCTTCAGGGATACTGCGTAGCCCTTCCTGGTGGAGGCGCGCGATTCCGTGACTCTCCTTTTAACGCGCCAATGTACCCTCACCGACGGTGCATGGAGTGAATCCGAGTGAAACTAGTTACGCCCGTGCGAAAAAGACGGAAAAAAGGCGGCATGATGACTGCACTCCAAGTGCTCCAAGATGACACTTGGACTTACAGGCACGACGAATGACAGGCGCCTCTCACCCCGCCGCGCGCTCGCGCCGACACAGCCGCGACGAGACGTGCAGCAGAAGGTGTCTTCTCGAGGGGTTCTCGAGTGTCTCGAAACGTGTCTCAAGCGACAAGCCGAATCGTACGCGTGCTCAATCATAATAAGCAAGAGTACCACCCATAGCCGTACGAGGGAGAGTGAGAGAGGTGAGGGGGACGACGAGAGAGTAGAGAAGTGAGCTCTGAGTAGATTTGAGCAGGGCCAAGGGTGGAGAGAGGCGTGCATGCCGACACGCCGGACCGCACAGCACATGCAGGCGTGGTGACGGCGACCAAGCTAGACCCCGTTGGCAGCCGCCGTCGGGTGGAAGAAGAAGGCGGTGTACTCGCTGTCCGGAAGGTAGGGGACGTTCGTGGCGGTAATCGGCGGGGAGATCTGGCACTCGCCGGGCGCGCCGCCCTCCTTGTACTGGCAGCAAAAGTCCTTGCCGGCATAGCCCAAGAAGAACTTGTGGTACTGCGCGTAGCTGAGGCACGTCTGCTGGCAGGCCGAGGCGCTGTCCTCCGCCAGCTGCAGCGTGTGCATCGACGCGGGGACGTCGGGGCACTTGGCGCCGTTCTGCTGCTGCGACGGCTGCCAGACGCCGTTGAAGGCGAAGCCGGGCTCGATGCCGTTCGGCCCGTTCAGGTGGAAGCCGGGGTTCGTGTTTGTCATCTTGGGTACGTAGCCGCGAGAAGTCGCGTCCGTGTCGGCGCCAACGAGGCTGTCGATGGCAGCCACGAAGCCGTCTGCGGCGGCGACGAGGCCACGAGGAGAGGAGGGCGGAGAAGGCGGAGTCGCATCCGCCTGCTCGCCCTCGTTACCGTCGCCCATCATCATTGCCGCCATGCCGGCCATCGGGTGGCCCTGCGCAGCGAGTGCGACGCCCGCTAGCTCATTGTGGCCCGAGACGAGAGCCGCGCTCGCAAAGAGAGCGCTGGCAACATCGTCGTGCTCGGGGCTAGTGGGCACGTGTGGCACCGGGCGTAGGCCCGGGACGTTGGGGTGGAAGCCAGGCAAAGTTGCGGTGGGGAGCGAACGGCTGGTCGGCTGCTCCTTGTCGCCGCCGAAGGAGCCACCGTTGCCGCCGTTGCTGGGCTCGAAGCCGCCGTTCTGCTCCTCGTCGCCGCCGAAGGAGCCACCGTTGCCGCTGTTGCTGGGCTCGAAGCCGCCGTTCTGCTCCTGCTCCTCGTCGCCACCAAAGGAGCCACCATTGCCGCCGTTGCCTGGCTCGAAGCCGCCGTTCTGCTCCTGCTCCTCGTCGCCACCAAAGGAGCCACCGTTGCCGCCGTTGCCTGGCTCGAAGCCGCCGTTCTGCTCCTCGTCGCCGCCGAAGGAGCCACCGTTGCCGCTGTTGCTGGGCTCGAAGCCGCCGTTCTGCTCCTCGTCGCCGCCGAAGGAGCCACCGTTGCCGCCGTTGCTGGGCTCGAAGCCGCCGTTCTGCTCCTGCTCCTCGTCGCCACCAAAGGAGCCACCATTGCCGCCGTTGCCTGGCTCGAAGCCGCCGTTCTGCTCCTGCTCCTCGTCGCCGCCGAAGGAGCCACCGTTGCCGCCGTTGCTGGGCTCGAAGCCGCCGTTCTGCTCCTCGATGCCTTGAGCGGGAACTTGCAAAGCAACACCACCCTCTGACGCCGGGAACTGCTTAGCGCGACCGTCTGGCACGTCGACGACGGGCACGGGCGCCGCGCAGGCGGTCGCCACGAGGACGATTAGGAGTCGCGAGTGGCAGAGCATGATGGGCGCTCGAGACGAGAGGCGGGTGCTTCTCGGGACGGACGAGCTCGGACTTGGAACTTACGCGACGTGGGTCAACAGCGACTCAATCCAACACGCAAATCCATAGGCAACGCGTAAGGCCAAGGGAATGGCAGAGTCGAACGGCGTCTTCCTTGAGGGAGTGCCCTCAACGCACCCTCTACGGGCGTTGCTTGCAGACAGACGGAGCGTGCAGGGACGCGAGCAGGCACTTGCTCTGCACACAGGGATTTTAAGGAGAGGAGGGTGGTACTAGCCGTCGCCCACCCTTGGGTATCTGCCTCTGCCTATCTCTCTTCGCAGTCTCTCGCCAATTCTCGCAGCGGTCTTCATCCCGGCATCCCCATCCCCTTCTTTTCCCGCGGGAAAATTCTTTTTCCTGACGTAGAATTCTTTCTTTCGGTCAAGAGACTTGAACCTCAAAAGGAGATCCAGAGCGAGAATCCGGAGTCGAAAAAAACAAAGAAAAAAGGAAGGAGGCTAGGAGGGTGCAGCCGAGGTGCAGTCGCGAGGTGCAGCCGAGGTGCAGTCGAGGTGCAGTCGAGGTGCAGTCGAGATTATCCTACATGGTGCGAGATCCGGGGATTGTCGTGGTGCTCCGAGATTGCCCGAGATTGCCCGAGCTCATGACCCCTGGACGTATCTTGAACACTCTGGCCTGGGCATCCAATGACCCCTGGACGTCCCCTGTAACTATTGATATTGATTATTGACAGCATCCCCTCTAACTATTGACAATATATTGACATATTGATCGCTGATTTGTCCCAGACATTGCTTAGATGTGGGCTGAAATCGAAAAAATCGCGAGTTCAAGGATGTCTGCAGTGATCTGTCGGCGGTCAGTACGACCGATCAGGTCGGAGTTTTCTGATGGTTAGAGGGTCTATCTGTATGTACTCCTCGAGATCTCTCCAAATCTGCCCTCTAATCAACCGTAATCATTCGGGAAGTCGGTGCTCTGAGCGACTCTGAGCGCCGGAGCCCCGTTTCCGCACTGCGGCGCGGGCGCACGGTGCCTCCGGGGGCCCCCGCCTCCCCCCAGAGTCCTGACCAGCCCAGGCCCAGCCTCTCCTCTAAATATTGCCATATGTATTGATATTGATCGCATCTCTAACTATTGGAGCAATATATTCAATATTTTGCGGGTGCCTTAATCGAGAGGTAAGTGCAGGCCCCGCCCCCGGCGCCAGCAGCAGCGTATTTACACGTTAGTACTGTTCTCTGTTGTGGAGCCCTCGCGCTGACGTACACAGGGCGAATGCGCGAGCGAACGGCGCCCTGTACAAGATAGTGCAAGTACACAAAATTTGCTACGAGGGGCAGGCTATACAATACGCGGACGAAGCGCGCCAGTCGCGCCACACCACGGCCCTAGTCTTTCGCAGCCTCGCGTCACACCGCCTTTTTGAAGGTGGGTGCGCTCGAGGGGAGGGCGTCCATTGCGCGCAGCCCCGCCCGTGAGGTTGCGTACGAGCGCACGCGGCCCTTCTTGAGGTCGTGCACCTCCGAGCGGTTGCCCTCGCCCAGCATGGAGAAGGCGCTCATCTTGACGGCAAAGCACTCCCCCGCATCGAAGCCCGCGACCGCCTGCATCTCCCCCATCAGCTCGACGCCGAAGAGAAAGTCGCGAAACTCGCCCGCAAAGTAGAGGGGCAGGCTGGGGACGGCCTTGAAGTCCGAGGGCGCGCCTCCCGCCGCGGCGCACGCCTCCTCGATGAGCGGCACGAGGCACTTAGTGTTGAGGTTGCCGAGCCTGCAGCACGGGGGCGGAGGAGGAAGGGGCGGAGGAGGGGTGGGGAGGGGTGGGGAGGGGCTGCAGCACCGCCGAAGACAGCTGACTCCGGCCGAACACGTGTCCTCTCAAGACCTGCTGGAGTACGAGGCGGTCCGTGGGCAGCATCTAGGCTACCGCGCCACAGGTATGCGAGCGACTTGTGCAGGGCCACGTCCATCAGGAACGGGTCGAGCCCGAGCTTGGGCGGCCGCAGCGGGTTTGGGCTAAAGGCCTTGACGGCGTCGAGCTTGGCTCGGGCAGCGTCCGTGTCGCGGATGTAGAAGAGCATCATGCACCAGTTGCCCGCCTGCAGGTCCCCCACCGCTCTCATCGCCATGAGCACGAGACTCGTGCATTCTCCCTGCACCCGCTGCGCGCCCAGTAGCGGTGGGAGATGTAGTAGCCGAGTCGGTCGGGCAGCACATTGCCCGCGGCGCAGGTGAGGCACTCGGCGCCCAGGTACACGAGTAGCAGCGGGCTCGCCTGGGGGTGAAGAGGATGTGAGCGTCTGCCCACACACATACAGCGGCGGGAGGCCCACTCAAAAGTGGGACTCTTTGACTGTGGCTCCCTCAAAGCGTGGCTCCTCAAGCGGTCGCCTGCGAGTAACCTCGGGTGATCTCGGGTAATCAAGCGTGGCTCCTCAAGCGGTCGCCTGCGAGAGGCCCGCCCAGTCGAAGCCGAGGGTCTCGATGCGCCAGAAGAGGAGCGGCACGCACAAGCCGAAGCAGAGGTTCCAAGAGTACACGTCGAACGGCGCCTTATCGCAGAGGGAGGCGTGCAGAGGCCGACGCAAGGTGCGAGGAGAGTAGACGCATCGAGCGGCGCCGGCATCGCAAGGATGTAGGCGTGCATCGCGCCGAGAGAAGCCATCCCGAAGGCGACCGCACCTACTCGCGGCTCATCATATCTCGCGGCTCATCTCGCGGCATCGGCGCATCTCGGCGCATCTCGGCGCATATCGGCGCATCTCGGATCATCTTTGCCGTCCGAGGGCAGCAGCAGCGCGAGCGGAGCCAAGTACCTAAGAGAAGCGGGCAGAGACCGCTCAGAGAAGCGTCCATTTTGGCCAGACCCCGGCCCTGCTCCACGCGCTCGACGGCCGCTGCAGCGTGCGCCACGGCCTGCCCGAACCTGGTCGGGGAGATTACCCGAGATTGCCCGAGATCACCCGAGATCACCCGAGATTACGTGCGCGACGGCCTGCCCTAACCTGGTCGGGGAGAGGTGGAAAGGAGAGCGGACGAGCAAGCCGGCGAGCCAGCGCCGCGCGGGCGCGAGGAGCATCGACTGCAGCATGAAGGGGCCTACTCTCTGCTCAGCTCTCGGAGACTCTCTGCGACTCTCGCGAAAGGCATCGACCGCCGCAGGGAGGGGCGGCCGTTGACGTACTCGAACCAGGGCCCGATCTGAGGCGAGGCAAGGTACGGGTGGTGCACAGGTCTCCTCGAGCACAGGAGTGGGTTTGTCCGTGGCCCACGCCTTGCCCACGCCAGAGAAGAACCACTGCAGCAGCAGCGCGGTCTGCATGCCCGCGAGGCGGCCTAAGGTCACGCCAGCCCAGGTCACGCCAGCCCAGGTCATGCCAGCCCAGGTCACGCCAGGCCCAGGTCAGGCGTGCTCTCTCTCGCTGTTGAGGTCTCGGCCCGGCAGCCCGACGAGGCGACTCGGCGTCTGGAGTGCAAGGCCCGGGTGCGAGTGCGGTTGCGCGGGCGCGCCTCGCTCGGCGGGAAAGCATGCAGACAGCAGCACCGAGTAGTATGTGTGGCCGTTTGCGGCGTAGAACTGGGTCGAGTCGGAAAGGAAGTGGAACGCGTCGCAGCCGCAGATGAGCCAGAGGGCCTGGCGGGAGGGGTGCTGCTTGCTTCTGTGCAGCTCTGACTACTACCGCTAGCCGGAGGGCCTCGGTGCGGTACTCGCGAGAGGCGAGAAAGGCAAAGATGCCCACGTAGAACAGGAGGTGCGAGAGCAGGTCGACAGCCGTGCGCCGCGTACCGAGGACGGCCACCTTAGCCAGCTTGACGGTGCCGAGGCTGAGCCGGTACATCAGATTGCATGGCGGTCCGAGATGCCCGTAAATTGGACCTTGGCGGCAGCCGAGCGACTCGGCAAAGTGCTGCCAGACGATCAGCTTTACAAAGCCGTGCAACAGTGGCTGTTTGTGCGTGCTCGGGCCCACTGCGAGCAGAGTCAGCGCAAAGCAGCCGTAGTTAATCAGGAGGAGGGTGAAGTGCCAAATGTAGACGACTGCCGGACGCCTGAGTCCGTGGAGCATGATGTCGATGGCGCAGCGGTCGAGCCGCTCGGCAAGCGGCATCGCGCTCCACTGAGTGCTCGTCACCCCTTCCATGTCGCGAGGAGTCGCCATTTGGCGTTGTCGTGAGAGCACGTGGGCTCTATTTCGATGGCGTGGACCGGCACAAGGCGTTGTTGTCCGTGCAACTGTACCCTGCCGCAGTCAGCTGCTGTGTAGAGCTCTACCAGCGAAAAAGGAGAATTTTAGTATAAAAGGAGAATTATGGGGACGTGAATTCCGGCAAGGTTTTTGCTCGCCTTCCCTGGGACCCCGTGTTGCATGTCACTGTCATCACTGTGCGATTTCGGGGCCCGGTTGTGCGTTTACGTGAATTCCGGCCGTGACGAGAGAAGCTATAGATGCAGCTAACGGGGTGTCGCAGGAGGTGAGGCACGAGGACGCCCATGAGGACCGGTGGCCTGACCTACATCGAGAGGCTTCACCTATTATTCTCCTTCTCTCTCTCTCCTTCCCTCGCTCTCTCTCTCTCCCATTCCAGAGTGATGAATAGTCCGCCGTGTCCCCATATCCCTATATTCCCACACCCTGTGCAGTGGCACGTCGTTGACACCCAGACCCCTAATATTAGACATCTTGGGCACGTCACGCTTCCCCAACTCCCGTTGTGCAAGTTTGGCACGTCATAGTCTCTGACTGCTTTCGTGGGGCCGCCGCGCCGCGAGACAGTCGACCTCTCTACTGTTGTGACACCACAACTCGGCGCAGCTGGCGTCTTTCCCCCCACCGGTGTGACACCACACCTTCGTACTTTGAATACTCTCTACAAACATGTCTTCCTCGGCTGAGGAGGCCCGCGACACTGCGGGCAATCTATCTCCCGCGACCAAGCCGCAGGACCGCGTACGACTCAACATACACGTGCTGGGCACCGATGATTCGGGTTCAGATGACCATCTCTCGAGCGAGAGACGAGGGACGCCTCACGAGACTCCAGAGGGCCTAGACCGGGGCGATACCACCCGGTCAGACCACCCTGATCACCTCTACACCACGTTGGAGCGTACCGAGCCCAAGGACGACACCGATGCGCTGGACAAGCCATCGTCGCCTGGCTCCGCCGAGGTCAGGGCTACGCCAGCTGGAATGCCTTCTGCCAGGCTGCCGGCGAGCCCTCCTTCGGCGGAAGCCTTCGAACGTCTCGACGTCTGATGTTTGCGAACCGTGCGACGGCTGTTCCATGGATATGCCAAATGCGTCGCGATGCAGCCTCCACCCCTGGGTGTGCCGAAACGTTCCTACGTAGTGCCACACTCCCCAGCTGCCATTCATTGCCGCGCCCCTCCCCGGGGGAATGGTCATGTTTGTGTCGCAGGAGGTGAGGCACGAGGACGCCCATGAGGACCGGTGGCCTGACCTACATCGAGAGGCTTCACCTATTATTCTCCTTCTCTCTCTCTCCTTCCCTCGCTCTCTCTCTCTCCCATTCCAGAGTGATGAATAGTCCGCCGTGTCCCCATATCCCTATATTCCCACACCCTGTGCAGTGGCACGTCGTTGACACCCAGACCCCTAATATTAGACATCTTGGGCACGTCACGCTTCCCCAACTCCCGTTGTGCAAGTTTGGCACGTCATAGTCTCTGACTGCTTTCGTGGGGCCGCCGCGCCGCGAGACAGTCGACCTCTCTACTGTTGTGACACCACAACTCGGCGCAGCTGGCGTCTTTCCCCCCACCGGTGTGACACCACACCTTCGTACTTTGAATACTCTCTACAAACATGTCTTCCTCGGCTGAGGAGGCCCGCGACACTGCGGGCAATCTATCTCCCGCGACCAAGCCGCAGGACCGCGTACGACTCAACATACACGTGCTGGGCACCGATGATTCGGGTTCAGATGACCATCTCTCGAGCGAGAGACGAGGGACGCCTCACGAGACTCCAGAGGGCCTAGACCGGGGCGATACCACCCGGTCAGACCACCCTGATCACCTCTACACCACGTTGGAGCGTACCGAGCCCAAGGACGACACCGATGCGCTGGACAAGCCATCGTCGCCTGGCTCCGCCGAGGTCAGGGCTACGCCAGCTGGAATGCCTTCTGCCAGGCTGCCGGCGAGCCCTCCTTCGGCGGAAGCCTTCGAACGTCTCGACGTCTGATGTTTGCGAACCGTGCGACGGCTGTTCCATGGATATGCCAAATGCGTCGCGATGCAGCCTCCACCCCTGGGTGTGCCGAAACGTTCCTACGTAGTGCCACACTCCCCAGCTGCCATTCATTGCCGCGCCCCTCCCCGGGGGAATGGTCATGTTTGTGTCGCAGGAGGTGAGGCACGAGGACGCCCATGAGGACCGGTGGCCTGACCTACATCGAGAGGCTTCACCTATTATTCTCCTTCTCTCTCTCTCCTTCCCTCGCTCTCTCTCTCTCCCATTCCAGAGTGATGAATAGTCCGCCGTGTCCCCATATCCCTATATTCCCACACCCTGTGCAGTGGCACGTCGTTGACACCCAGACCCCTAATATTAGACATCTTGGGCACGTCACGCTTCCCCAACTCCCGTTGTGCAAGTTTGGCACGTCATAGTCTCTGACTGCTTTCGTGGGGCCGCCGCGCCGCGAGACAGTCGACCTCTCTACTGTTGTGACACCACAACTCGGCGCAGCTGGCGTCTTTCCCCCCACCGGTGTGACACCACACCTTCGTACTTTGAATACTCTCTACAAACATGTCTTCCTCGGCTGAGGAGGCCCGCGACACTGCGGGCAATCTATCTCCCGCGACCAAGCCGCAGGACCGCGTACGACTCAACATACACGTGCTGGGCACCGATGATTCGGGTTCAGATGACCATCTCTCGAGCGAGAGACGAGGGACGCCTCACGAGACTCCAGAGGGCCTAGACCGGGGCGATACCACCCGGTCAGACCACCCTGATCACCTCTACACCACGTTGGAGCGTACCGAGCCCAAGGACGACACCGATGCGCTGGACAAGCCATCGTCGCCTGGCTCCGCCGAGGTCAGGGCTACGCCAGCTGGAATGCCTTCTGCCAGGCTGCCGGCGAGCCCTCCTTCGGCGGAAGCCTTCGAACGTCTCGACGTCTGATGTTTGCGAACCGTGCGACGGCTGTTCCATGGATATGCCAAATGCGTCGCGATGCAGCCTCCACCCCTGGGTGTGCCGAAACGTTCCTACGTAGTGCCACACTCCCCAGCTGCCATTCATTGCCGCGCCCCTCCCCGGGGGAATGGTCATGTTTGTGTCGCAGGAGGTGAGGCACGAGGACGCCCATGAGGACCGGTGGCCTGACCTACATCGAGAGGCTTCACCTATTATTCTCCTTCTCTCTCTCTCCTTCCCTCGCTCTCTCTCTCTCCCATTCCAGAGTGATGAATAGTCCGCCGTGTCCCCATATCCCTATATTCCCACACCCTGTGCAGTGGCACGTCGTTGACACCCAGACCCCTAATATTAGACATCTTGGGCACGTCACGCTTCCCCAACTCCCGTTGTGCAAGTTTGGCACGTCATAGTCTCTGACTGCTTTCGTGGGGCCGCCGCGCCGCGAGACAGTCGACCTCTCTACTGTTGTGACACCACAACTCGGCGCAGCTGGCGTCTTTCCCCCCACCGGTGTGACACCACACCTTCGTACTTTGAATACTCTCTACAAACATGTCTTCCTCGGCTGAGGAGGCCCGCGACACTGCGGGCAATCTATCTCCCGCGACCAAGCCGCAGGACCGCGTACGACTCAACATACACGTGCTGGGCACCGATGATTCGGGTTCAGATGACCATCTCTCGAGCGAGAGACGAGGGACGCCTCACGAGACTCCAGAGGGCCTAGACCGGGGCGATACCACCCGGTCAGACCACCCTGATCACCTCCACACGGGGGCAGCCGAGTTGGCGCCTGGACGCCGCTCGAGGCGACGCCCCTGCGCCCTCCCGGCTTTGCGACCCTCCCGGCTGGCGTACTCCCGGGGAGCAGCCCTCCCGGCTGGCCGTGGGTGCGAGGAATCGCAGGCTGGGTCGTGCACTCCGGCAGCCCCTCCTGGCCTCGCCCCTGCCTCCCGCAGCCTGACCGAATCCCACGGGTCCACTTGACGGTGTGGTTTCCGACCCCCCCGGGTGGTCCACCCGCCCCACGACTATTATCCTATCTCTCCGGGGGCCCTGTGGGGGGGAAGGGTGCGTAAGACAGGGCGTGGAATGGCGGGGCCGGGGGTGTCGTGCCTGTTTTTAATTTTAATAGTCGCCCCAGCCGCCGCCGCCCTTGCCGCGCCCGCCCGCCCTTGCCGCGCCCGCCCTCGCCGCCCTTGCCGCGCCCGCCCTTGCCGCGCCCGCCCTCGCCGCCGCCGGGCGGCGGCCTTTGCGCGTTAAGAATTCTTCTGAAAAACGGCGTTTTGGCCGAGGGGGGGGGGCCTACATTCATTGAGAGGTCTCGTCATTCGAAGCCTGCTGAAGCCTCACCTTTGATTGTCACCACCTAACAGGCGTCGCCTTTGCTGTGTCGCGTCCTCCGCGTAGCCAGCCAACCATCCACATCCACCAGCACTCACCCTCCTCACCTCGCGTC